TGTGGTGCTGGGGATTGAACCGCGGTTCCTGTGCTTTGCTAAGCTTGTTCTAAGTAGGTGCTTTAGACCACTGAGCCATCTCACCAGCCCCTATGTGGTTATTTTTATGATTTCCATTTCTCTGCTAAAAATTTATGTTTTAGCTGGGCGTGGTGGTACATGCCTATAATCCCAGGACTCAGGAGACCGATGCAGGAGTATCACTGAAAATTAGAGGCTAGCCTAGACTAACCCTTTTTCAGAAAACCAGTGAATAGTCTTACTGTGTAGTTCATTCAGGCTGTCCTTCAATCCACTGTATACCCCCAGTGTAGAGATTATGTGCCACTGCGCTGGCTTCTTTCAGATAATTTAGGATTTATGTTGTTTACTGTGCTAATGTCAGTTTGTTGTATGTATAAATCAGTATTTGTGTTCATCTGCAGAATTAGAGAATCTCATTTCTAGTTCTTTTTCTTGTACTCCTCAGCTTCTGGTGGCCCTTTTTCTCTTTTCCCCTGATTAGAAAGAGTGGTTTTCTGACATTTTAGACTTTTGTATCATTGCAAGGATTGTACTTTTTTTTTTTTTTTAATGTGTTTGGTATAAGGTCCCACTACACAGCTTGGACTCCTAGTGGTTCTCCTGTTTTCAGCCTCCCCAACACTGGTATTACAGGCATGTACCACCACCACACCTAGTTTTGGTGGTCCCCTCAGCCTGGGGGCGGGACCAGCATAGCATGTGGTGTTAGGAATTGAATCCAGGTCCCTCTGCTTGCCTAAGCAGATGCTTAGTCCGTTGAGCTGTCTTGCTGGCCCCAGGAATCATTTTCAACGTATGTCTGAAGATCTTCTGCTTCTTTGCAAACTGTTTCAAAAGACTAAATGCAGTCTATTGCACTTGGTGTTAGAAAGATTATGAATCCATGCAGATTAGAGATACTTGATTTTTTTTTTTTTTTTTTTTTTGGTGGAACTGGAGATTGAACTCAGACCCTTGTACTTACTAGGGAAGTGCTTATTCCACTGAGCCATCTCCCAGGCCCAAGATACTTGATTTTGTATTTGTTCTTAACTTTGTGGTTTGTCTGGTGTTTTGAGACAGGATCTCTCTGTGTAGCCATAGCTGGCCTGGAGCTTGCTATCCTCCTGCTACAGCATACAGAATACTAGAATACTGATGCGCTACCAGTATGGCCAGCTGTATCTTAGCTCTTCATCACATTACTTACTCATTTATGGTTGTTACTAACAACAAGATGATTGAAATAGATTAAGATTTGTAGGTCCCTTCCTGCCCCCCTGCTGGGTTGTACTGTTGTAGTAACATAAGAAAACCATGAGCCTTAAAAGTTTAAATAATTCCTCTCTGTACTGTTAAAATACCTATTTAATATAAACATTGACATTTGATTTAAAACTCAAATTTTTTATTAGGCCGATAAGACAAGATGCAAATCTGGAACTGGTTAGAAATTTTAAATGTAAAATTATTTGTATAATACTACTAAAACTTGTTCATTCAAAAACTTTTAAGATTTTAACATTTTTATGGTTTGATTCAGTATTAACACTTAAAATTCTTTTAGTGCTAGGGATTAAACACATGTGTGATATAGGCTTGTGTACTACCCTTGAGCTATGTTGGTTTTTTCCCTTGGGCGCGCGCGGGGGGGGGGGGGGGGGGGGGGGGTGGTATAAAGGGTATTCAGGATCTCACTATTAGATGGGACTTACAGTGATCCGCCTGTTTATAGCCTCCCAAGATCTGAGATTATAGGCATGAGCCACCACACCCAGTCTCAATTGCTGTCTCAGCAGGCCCCAGGGGTGGGGCCAGCACTATAGGCCTGGGGATCGAAAAACCCTCTCCCCACTGCCACTTTGTGTGGAAATTGTTCAGTCTTTTCATTTTAAGAAGATGAGTGTTGTCTGTGTTTATAGTATCTTAGGAGAAATGTAATTGATAATTGACACTGTTTGTTCTAGGAAATTTCCAGAGCAGAGAAATTGATTAATGTATATGGGGTAGTCTTGAGTATATATTAGAAATGGAATACAACTTAATTCACACTTTTTTTTTTTTTTATGGTGGTGGTGCTACAGATTGATTCCAGGGCCTCATACATGCTACACATGCCAGGCAGGTAGGTGTTCTACCACTGAATTACATCCCAAGCTCTTTCTGTTTTGTGACAGGGTCTTAGTTGCTCAGGCTGGCCTCCAACTCATAATCTTTCTGTCCCAGTCTCTCGAATACTTGGAATTACAGGGATGACCACCATGTTGGGCTGCTAGTTAATATCTTGGGGTTTTTTTTGTTTTGTTTTTTTTTCCCCCTGGAACCAGGGATTGAACTCAGGCCCTTGCGCTTGCCAGGGAAGTGCTTATTCCCCTGAGCCATCTCCCCGGCCCCTAGTTAATATCTTTTTATTGCACTGTAGTCTTACTTTGGAGAGGTACAAAAGACGTAAGTCTGCCTTGTACAGTTATGAAGAAGCTTTGTAGCACAAAATGAAGTTGGAGATGTAGTAGTGCCCGCTTGTAAACTCTTTGAGAATTTGAGGCAGGAGGATTGCAAGTTTCAGCCCAGCCTGAGCAGTTCAGTAACTTAATGAGATCTTGTGTCAAAAAAAAAATTAAAAAGCTGGGATGTAGCTCAGTGTGAAGTTCAGTTCACAGTACTGGAAGGAAAGGAAAGAGTAAAGGAGGGATGGAACAAGGAAGGAAGAGAAAGAGAAAATTCATTATTTCACTAAAAGTGGGATGTGTTTAAAAGTCATATAAAGGGCATAAGAAGAATTAGATGAAACTTTGTTTTCTTTAGAATTTTAATAAAGTAAATTCAGTTGTTTTAATTGCTAAAATTAAGCAGATTAGAAGAAAATAGCTAATGTTTTATTATATAGCACTTACTATGACAGAGTACTGGTCTGTGCTTATATTTATTAACTCTTATAATCCTCACAACTGAACTATGAAGTAGGTTATTATTTTCACTTTACAGATTAGGAAAATGAGACTTTCCAAGTTCACAGCTTGTGAATAGTGTTTCTGGAATTAATAGCTAGGCCTTATCATTCTAGACCTAGGTCCCTGGGTACCTCTCAGGTAGTATTCATTTTAATAATTGGGTGATCTGAAAAAGGAATTCCTGGCAGAACCATCAAGGAATTTACTGGTTATCTGTATACCTGCTTATCGAGTCACAATTGATAAAAGCCAAATTTTATCAATTTGTGTAAATCAGGTTTATGGGAGAACGGTTATCTGTGTTAAATTTATACTTCTTCCTCCTGCTGTGCTTTTCTTGGGAATCTGTCATATTAGATTAATACACTGTCATACAGTATCTGAAAGGAAAAGAAAGTTTACAAAATTACATTTTTTGTGTATTTCCTTATATATGGAGATCATTAATAAACGATGTCTGCCTGTTATTAAAAGCACTGTGCAGCTTGTCATTGTATATGTTTTTAATTGTTCTTGTATTATTTCTTTTGCTGTGTCAGAATTAGATAAATCTTTAAATGCATTATGACATTGAAAGTTCAGGATATAAAAAGGTATCTAAAATTTTTAAATACTATGTTGTGGGACCTCCATTTTCTGGGAAGACAGTAATAGAGTAATGGAAATTGAACCCAGGCTTTCATACTGAGCCACGTTTCTATCCCTTTTAGTTATTATTATTATTATTATTATTATTATTTTTTTTTTTTTACTTTGAGTTAGGGTCTTTGTGTCCAAGCTGGCCACAAACCTGTGATCCTCCTATGTTAGCCTTCCAGAGGGCTGGGGTTATAGATGTGCTACACTGTGCTTGGCTTAGAAATTTCTTTCTTAAAGTGCCACAAGTAATTGTGATAATGAGCCAAGCTTAGGAACTACTGCAGCAATAGATCATATTGCCTTTTCAGTGAAATTTAGTAATTTTTGTGGATGCTGTCAGTAAATGATCTTACATAAATTATTCTTAGCCTCTTTTAATTTCCTGCTTTTCTTATTTCTTTACAGTAGTTTATGCCAGTGTGGCTTCATTCATACAGATGAACCAAGGATTGGGATAGCAGTTTAAAATTAGAATCAGACAGCTGACTGCCCAGCAGGATGCCATCAACTAACAGAGCTGGCAGTCTAAAGGACCCTGAAATTGCAGAGCTCTTCTTCAAAGAAGATCCAGAGAAGCTCTTCACAGATCTCAGAGAAATTGGCCATGGAAGCTTTGGAGCAGTATATTTTGTAAGTGTTAAAAAATATACTTGATGTCTGAGCAAAAAGCAATAATAAAAGGTATAGAATTCACTGAGTAAAAAAACAAAATGCCAACC